GCGCTCGGGGACCAAACTGTCCTGCACGAAGTGGAACTGGGGCTGGGCGCGCGGGCCGGGATTTCCTGCGGGTTTGTGGGACACCCTGCCCCCGGGTGGGGCTGGGTCCCCGTGTGCCTGGGCATGTAGTTGTGCAGAGAGTCGTAGCAGTCGTGACCCTCGTGTCCAATGAGACCTGCTATGTGAGTCCACAGTCACCCGTGCCACCTTGGGTGACCCCATGTATTTGGGTTGTGCCTTTGCAGGGAGAGTCCGGGGCCACGAGCCATTGTGAACATGGATAGGTGCCTGAGTTTCCCTCTGGGGTGTCTGGGTGGGTGGCCGGGTGTGACAGTCCTTGCTGTGCTCCAGTTGGGCGTCCCAGTGCTCCTCAGGCCCTGGGATATCTGCAGGTGTCTACGGGGGAGGAGTGTGGCCACTGTGAGCATCTAAGATGGCCCTAGGTGCGGCGATGTAGTGTGGGAGGCCAGGGTGGGCCGTGCTGGGCAGGGCGCAGCTCTGTGGCCCCTGTCCCCCCCCCCACCGCCCTGCCCTCCTGCAGCAGGAGGGAAGCCCCTGGGGAGCAGAGCACTGGACGTGTCCTCCACCTAAGAAGGGAGGGCTGGCTCCTGCTCCAGGATCTGGTGCTGGGGACGGCAGGCAGGTGGAGAAGAAGGGAAGGAAGACAGGGAGGGGTGAGAACCCCTGGGGGTAGGTGTGGGGTGTCCACCCGCTGGGTGGGGGCTGTAAGGCCAAGGAAGAGGGCCCAGATCCTCGGGCTTCTTTGGATTCCGGGAGGAGCCAAGCCAGGCCAGACCAGGCTTCGAGGTTCAAGTCCACGCTGTGAACTTGAGCGGCTCACTCTCTTCTCTGAGCTGGGTTCTCTGCCATCCATGGGCTACCTGGGGCCACGGGTTTCTTAATCAATGAGCCCTGCACTGCCTCCAGCCTGACCCTCCAAGGACCCTGGGAAGCATCTGGGCCAGATGGGTCCCAAGGCCCAGAGCTGTTTCCAGGTGACCGTGAGGCCCCGCCCCTCCCCAGCCCGCGGCTCCTCCCTCCCCACCCTTCCTGTGACTCACGATTTTCCATTTTCAAGAAAGAACAAACAGCCTGTCTAGGGGGAGACCCCACGTGGCTCCCAAGATCTGAGTGGCGGATTGTATGGCTCTGGGAGAGAGAGCGTGTGAGTGTGTGTGAGTGTGAGTGTGTGTGTGTGAGTGTGTGTATGTGTGCGC